AAACATTAATTTTTTAAAAATTTAAACCTTAATATCATAAAATATAAAATTCAAAAAATTTAAATTTTAAACTTATAAAATATAAAACCTAAAAAATTTAAATTCTAATGACTTAAATACTAAATTCTAAAAAACTTTAAGCACTTAACTTTAACACCCTAATACAAATCTCTAAAATTTTAAAACCTAACGATATTATTTTAAATAAATTTTAACTAAAAAAATAAAAAAGCAAAAAAATAAATTTAAATTGATAAAAATAAGAACTAAATAACGAGCTGTACTTAGAGTAAAAGGAAAAAGAAAAAATCGATGGAACCACCTTAAGTCAGCCTTTTGTAGAGTAGACCTGCCAGGGGTCGGTGCCCCTAGCATTAAGTGGAATTTTTATTTATTTATTTTATGAAAAGTAATTTTTGGAGGAGAGAGGTTAATAGTACACACCGTTATCAAATGGTTTACGAGAGCATGTGTGTCTTTAAATGAAATTATCTTTATAGTAACTATGGGAAAATACTTTTTTTTTTCTCTGAACAATTAGGGAATTCTTGGGAGAGAATTTCACAGCAGTGTCATACTGTCATCTCTGCAACTAATATAGGACCGTTTGTTGTGGTTGCCAACGACAAATACCAACGCAGAGACTGCTAAGTGCGGGAAAAGATATTGTACATAATTGTTCATCTTCATTTTTTGTTTTCTTGATTGACCATATATAGGAAAGGCAATTTCTTAGCCTTCCCACCGGATGGGAGAAGTTGCATAAGTAGAAGAAATTGTTTGATTAGTCTGCAATTGCAATTTCACAATTCACGAACAAACGAATTTATATAAACTGATGGATTTGTAAATATTGACGGGTGGTGGACGATAGACGAATAGTTTGGGACGGTCGAATGAATTTATAGATGATTAGGGGCGGATGAACAAACTTGTAGACAAATTTATAGATGGATAGACATGTGATTATGAACAGTCAGACAAATAAATTTGAGGACGTTAATGGATGAAGGACGAAAAAACGGTTGTTGAATGTGGACGATATGAATAGATGAATTTTTGGAAAAATTAATGGATGGATAAATTTGTGGCAAATTTTTAATGGTATAGATTTTTGAACGGTTGTGGATAGATACATAGCTTTGTGGATGTGAATGGACCTATTTGTAAATAGATGAAGGATTTATAAACAAAGAGACAGACAAATTTCTAGACAAGTTTTTATATATATAGATTTATTGATGACTGTGGACCAAAAAAGTGGATTCTTTAACAAATTTATGGATGTAGGGGCAGGTTTGTGGACAAATAAACGAATTAATTTGCAAATGAATTTTTAAATGTATAGATTTGTGAATGTTTATGGACGATATTAATATGTGAATTTTTGGATGAATTAATGGACAAATAAATTTGTTGATGAATTTTTAGGATATAGATTTATGGATGGTTGTGGATAGACAGATAGATTTGTAACTGAGTTTATGGCGAGATGGATAGATGATAGTCAGATTATGGATAGACAGACATACAAATTTTTGGGCAAAATTTTTGAAGTATAGATTTGTGATTAGAAAGATGGATTTTTGAACAATTTTATGGACGGACGGTTTTGTGGACGAACAAACAAATAAATTAGTGAACGAATTTTTAAGAGTATAGATTTATGAATAGTTGTGAATGATACAAATAGATAATCTTTAGATTAATTAATAAACAGATAAATTTATGGACAAATTTTTAGAGATATAAATTTATGGCCGGTTATTGATGGATGAATTTTTGAGTAGATAGACGAATTTGTAGACAGACAAATGATGGTTTGTGGATAAACAAGTAGATAAATTTTTGTATGTACAGATTTATCAATGGTTGGGAACGAAAAAATGGATTTTTAAATGAATTTATAGACGGATAGATTTGTAGACAAATAAATAAAAATAAAAATATTTATGGACAAATTTTTAAATGTATGGATTTACGAATTATTGTAAACGAAAAATCGAATTTAAAGACGGCAGAAATGAATTTACTTACTGATAAATTAAATTTGTAGATATAAACGGATGAAATATCGCAAATGGATGAAGGAACGTGCGAAAAGAAGAATGATAAGGTGGACAAATTTACGAACAGATGAACCATTAGATTTTTGACGGCTCATAGATTTTATGTGAACATGTAGATGCAGGGAAACTGCGCATATAGTGTAACAAACTAATTAATTAATTGTACGTGCAATTGCTTCTCTTATATAATGAAGACAAACAGCTTTTAGTTATGATTCGGGGAATTAAAATTAATTAGCTGAGGGATTGCATCAATACTTGATTTTGTTTTTTGGCCTTAGCAATGTTACTGGATGATTGAGCCAAAGTCTTCCAAGAAATCAAGACAAATATATAAGTAGTATGTAGAAACGATCTATCACAATCTTCTGCTAACTTATCAAACACTTCAAAATATGAAAATCTCATGCTTACCCCAGCTCCAATACCACCTAATATATCCATAGAAAAAATTATAATTGAAACCGAAAACTAGTTAGCAAAGAGGATTCTTGAAAACCATTTAGCTAAACTTAGCAGTAATTAAGCTCATGAATCTCCTTCCTTCCTCCATACAACCGGTGACTTGTGCTCAGTTACATCTCTCTTTCTTCCTTTCTCACCACCTTATTATAATTAAGCTGTGCCAAAATCAACAATATTGAAGTTGTGAGACGTCCATAACATCTAGATCTACGAGTAGATCTATTGAATCTAATTTCACTAAGAAGGTATAGTTTGCCTACTTGTTGTACACTTCAAAATTGTTCAACTTTTGTTTTCAGTTTAACTAACTTAATTGAATCTCATAGGCAACTATAAATTGATATGCTCTACTAAAAACTGAAGTAGGCATTGGAGGATTGATCTCAACATACATCATACAACTTCAAGTTTTTATTAAGACCTTTCTTTAGGATATGGAAGTTACATATAGATCAATATGCTACTATATACAATATGATTATTTTTTGTATGCTTGTTCCCGAGTAGGATTTTTTGTTGTCTCTATGTAAGAATTATTTCATTTTGGCAATGTTGTTAACATATAAGTTGTAGAAGAAATATTGATGCCATCATATTCTATATCATTTTGTTAATAATCATATTGTATACAAAGATTATGTGCTCATTTGTGTATGTGCACATTTCTCTATATGCACAGTAGAAATTTTATAACAAATCATTCATGACTTAATCAATATACAACTCTTTTTTATGCATTTTGCATTTTTATGAAATGAAAAGTTCTTATTTTAAGAATAATTCAATGACAATTTCTTCAAATTTCCCCCCTGTGAAGTGGTTATCAAGTCATTTTCAGTAAGACTTCATAATTGATGAATAAAACCCTAGAGTAGCTTGTAGATCTATTCATGCCCTGACCAGAATGCTACTTGTGAAACACTTCAACAATATATTATAAAGGGCAGCTGTTTAATCTCATTGTTACGTCTCTCTCGGTGGTATGTTTTAAATTTTAACCATAATATACAAGAACAAATTTTACAATTTCACATGCAAATTAATAATAAATAAATAATTGCTTGAGTTGTTAGTCTAAGGATTCAAGAAAAGGGATCAAGTGGAGTGTTGGGATGAATTTTATCCCCGAGGGGGATGCAAAATATTCAATGGGTTAGTTACATGTAAAAATGCATTAAGTTTCAGACATCTACAATAAATTACACATCATGTAATCACTACTTTTACTAGCTACCAGAAGTAACATATCTATTTGGTTATCTGTTTGCTATGCAAAAAAATAGATTAGCTAGATATATAGTGTTAATTGATAAGTACATAGTGTTCATTGGCTAATTGTGGATTATATATACTCATGTATGTTAGTTGGAAAAGCTCATGTTTGTGTAGGCGTTATGTTTTCAAGCTTTTTGGGAACCAAGAAACAGAATAGGCAAAAGAGTAATACTGAGAAATGTATGAGTATTTATACATTGACATATCTCATGTGATATGAATTTAGTATCCTATATTTTAAGACACAAATTCTATTGAGGCCTCAAGTTTAGTGGTTCAAAATCTAAAGGTTGAGATTTCACAACTTTTAGGTTGTGGGTTCGAACTCTTGTTTTTAATTGTGGGTTTTCTTTGAAATTTTCTTATTTTTGGAAATCTTGCATAATTGTTTATCTATTATTATCAATTACCATTTTTAAATAAACAGAAAGTCATAGTATTCATATTTTGAGTTTGTGTATTAAATCCGAGGGTTAGTTTAGATTTATTCTCACCTCCCATTGACTAGTTATGTACGTATGTTAGTTACCAATCTATTATTAGTATGGCCGATGCTTTGTTTTAGCTATTATGGGTCTTTATGTAGTGAGGAATTATAAAACCTGAAAGGTTGCATATGGTGTCATCTTCCATTCTCATCCAGATCAAGTTGTAAAATTTTTGATTCATACACCCACCACCTAACCTTTAGCCATGGACCGACCTTGATTTCTTCCAAATTTCATGAGCTTTTTGTTAATTTTTGTAGCTCTTATTTATTTATTTATTTTTATCTACTTGTACCTGCTTTATTTCCTTTTAAAACAACCAAGACAAAATGGACTACGCTTAATTCTTTCACATTGGGCCAAGCCCACAAAATGAAAGGGATTTTGTATTGTATCAATAAAATCTCATAAACTACATTTTTCTCTGAAATGGGCCGCACTCATGCAAATCCAAGTTAAATTTAGACTGGTCTTAATTCTTACGTAAATGATTACTTTTTGGGTGGGCTCAGGTCCTAGTCTTCAGGTTTGCCCGACCCGAGTAAAGAATTCGGATTATATAACGGACGGTTTGGAATTTAGATTGGTTAAAATATCCATTTGATCCCTCAACTTTCAGATTTGTACCAAAATTATCCTTAACCTTTAAAAAGTATCAAAATTATCCTTAAACTTTAATTTTCATACCAAAAGTCATACTATTAAAGAAAATGCCATGAGAGTTGTTATCTTTCTACAAAATTACTTTAAAAAAATAATAATAATATGTAAAATTAAACAGTCATATTTTGTTACCATGGCATTACAATTGGAGGACTAAATTGGTATTTATAATTAAAGTTCAAAGAAATAAGTTCAAAAATTAAATTAATTCTAATGTGTCAATGGAAATATATTACGATAGTAAAATATAACGATTTGATTCTATATATTATTAACATTTTAAAAATGAATTGATTTTATAATAAAATAATGAGGCATGCCACATTTTCATTAATAGTAGAATTATTTTGGTATCTAAAATTAAAATTTAGAAATAATTTTAATATTTTTAAAAAAAATTTAAAGACAATTTTACTACAAATCTAAAAGTTGACGACTAAATTTGTATTTTAACCATTTAGATTTGATCAAGCCGTCTCTTTCCTTTGAAGGGTAAAGTACAAAGAAGCACTGCTAGAGTGAAACATAGGGATTACAGTACGGCAATAGGCATCAGTGACATCGACGACACCAGCTAGATCTTGGTTCAAGCCTAAGGTGGTAAGGCCCTTTCTTCACGTGAGATCTTATCCTTCCTTCCTTCTTTTTTTTTTTTTTTTGGTAAAAAATCTTACAAGGAAAAATATCCCCCATCCCCACAATGGAGTGCCAGAAAGCCCACTAGATCCTATCCAACGAGTAGAGCTTTGACAATAGAGTCAATCTAAAACTATGCTGGACCATAATGGTACCTACCATGGTGTACATCTTCACTTTGTTGTTGTTGCAAGATCGTCTGCCTTCAAAAAATGAAGAGCACTCTTTTTGTGTTTTTTGACATAAGGAAAGGGAGGACCCTAACCATCCTTTCTTTAATTGTGAGTTTCCCTATTCTATATGGATGAATTGCTACCAGTGGTGGAACATTAGATATGTTATGCACATAGGTGGATAGGACATATTTAGACAACACATGGTGCTTTCAGAACTCATAAAGGATGGAGGATAATTTGATATGTTGTTCTGTGGTCAATTTGGGTGGCAAAGAACAAGGTTGTATTAAAAAAGAAGCAAGCATATCTATAGATAAGCTTTTTCAATTGGCACAAATCTTGTCTTACCTATGGATTAAAGGATACAAAGAAGGCTGGCCTTACTCACTTGAAGAATGGAGGGACAATCCCCATAGGTGCACAATATCAAAAACAAGAAGCCACTAATTTTGAGATACCCATGGTCACTATGACTTTCATGTTATATGTTTAATAGTGTTTAGGTTGATTATCCCTTGTGCTTTAATAATAATAAAATTATTCTTTGCCTTTAAAAAAAAAAAAAAAAAGATCCTATCCTTTCGAAGCCTTTTCTATACTTTTATGATCAAAAGTACAGCAGTTTATTCATTGTTCTCGTTGTTTTGTACTCCCAACACCGTGTGGTTGAGTTTAATTCATTGACCTATGTTAGTTTTCTTTTTTTCCCTTCAAGAGATGTCATTGACTTTTGGAGAAGACGACGAGCGTAATCAGGGGAAACATCTCTCTGGGGAAATATCTTCCTAACCTAAGCCCCTGAAGAGTAGAATGAAACAAAAAAAAAAAAAAATCAGTGTATTATGTTTCAGTTTTTTTTCATAAACTGATCGTGTACATAATTTTTCTTGTAATACCTACTCGCGATACTTGATAAATATGTCGAGTCTAACAAAATCCCTGATTGTAAAATGTTCTTTCGAGTTCTCTCTTCCTCGGGGAAGATGCTTCCCAAGGATACCGTCCTCGGAGACGTCCTGATGTCGAAGAACCAGATTCCAACGTTCGATTTTATAATTATTATGCAATTAAGGTAGTTAATTAATTATATTTTAAGGTATGAATCAGCATATGTACTTAATTAGCTCGATCAATTGTCTAATTAAGTTGTTGGCATAGGTTTGTGTTGAAAGACATCTTCTCCAAGACTTGCTGTGAGGTAGAGAAGTATTTACCGAATCTTTTTGTAGAATTTTGCGGAAAAATCTGGCCAATCAAAGTGGAGTGGCCTGAATGTCCACTAAAATTACTAGAGCATCATTATTTGTTGGACCTTCTGTACCAATACATAACTTACAAAAAGGACAGCAAGGAGACGAAGAAAAATTTCTCGACTAAGACGAGAGTAGCAGACTCGGCAAGGGACCTTGAAGCTGCAAAAGGACCACAAGAATGTTCCCTCTTTTCCCAGCTGCGGGATAACATGGCCATATTTCAAAATTTAGGCCGCGTCAAAATCTTTTTGTTAATTCTAGAGTTGTTTCTGGGTATTGTAGTTGTAGGTGTCTTCGGCGTAACAGTGGAGATATTGTCCGGGGAAAACAAGTGTTAAATACCTTCAGCTGTTAAGAAATCAAGGATTCCTGAGAAGAAGAAGATGGAATGAAAATCCAAATCTCATTAAACTGAAAAATAAAAGAACTTTATCTAATAAAATAACTAATCAAAAAGATAAAACTTATCTAATCTATTTTAAATGATAACAACCTAAATAATAGGAAAAACAAATAAACAACTTAAACTTTTTAAATTATAGGATCTAATTCCCAACAATCTTCCCTTAAACTAAAAGTCTTCAGATTTCAATTTAAAGAAATTTGGAAAACACCATGTTTGCAATCTGGAATATGCAGACCCTCCCTCAAACTGAATTCTACATGTTGCAAATACCAAGTAGCTCTCTCAGTCTTGAAAAAGTTGCTACTTTGAGGGGTTTTGTGAATATATCAGCCACTTGATCTTCTGTTTTGCAATAAGTCAACTCAATTGTTCCATCTCCTACCAAGTTGCGCAAGAAATGATATCTCACACGTATATGCTTGCTTCTCCCATGCAGAACTAGATTTCTAGAAAGCTTGATAGTTGAA